GCAGGCTTTGCTCTAAAAGTAAGTGTCCATGTGTCAACCTTGCATGGCACAGGTTTCTTCACAAATGGAAAAAGCAGAGGTCGTCAATATACAGTAATTGTCTAATTGGTCGGGGGACATCTTCAGTGATACCATTCGCTGTGATTGAGAAAAGTGTAACGCGTATCACTGAACCTGAGAAACTCCATTTTCTTGAACAAAGACCCTGGTGAGCAGGGGAACCCAATCTAACTCGGAAACTTCGGTTCCTCAAGAAATCCTCGAGAAACTGAGATATTTGCCTCTGAATCCGATTTCCCGACATTACCAAAGCATATCTCCACGTAGTATCATACGCTTTTTATAGGCCAAAGAACACAGCCAGAGCCTGCGGTTTATTCAGAAACGTGTTCTGAATATTACTCTCGAGTCAAGCATGATCAACTGCAGATCAACGACGCCTACGGAATCCCACTTGATGCTGGCTGTAAACGCCTTTCGTCACAAGACATCAAGTCAAACTGTTTATAATGGTCACCCCACCTCTATTATTTCTATGGTATTCCTACATGCTCTTTGAAAAGGAGCCAATGAGTTACATCCTTCAATTAGGTAGAGAACATCAAGCAACCTTTCGCTATGTGCCGAACTCATACTCATGTTCTCAAAAGTGTCCATGTATCAACCTCAGGTCAGATCCCCAGAGGGCCACATAGCAACATACTCTTAATGCGCTCTATTTAAGAATTGTTTTTTCAATATATCACGCGATTTTGTTAAAGTCAGCCTGTTTTGGTTGCATTACATTATTATATTCTGGCTCTAAGTAGTTGATTTTTTTCCCACTTCATAAAATTCTTATTTAAGTTACTGTTTATTGCAAACCATCAGATTAGGACTAAATCGGTATAGGTTTGCAGGGAAAATTGACTTTGGAAAATTATCTTCAGGCAGAATGTTAATTTTATTAAAATGGAGGTACAGGGGTGAATCTGGGGGTTAGTCAGGAGGCCAATGACTGAGGCGCCTTCTTTCACCAGGCAAGTTAAAAAAAAAAACTTTTTTTTAAATGCGAAATAACATGGAAAGTATCCTTAATAAATAAAAAGTAATATATTCGGAAATTTCACGAAAGAAGGAAGGACAAAAGATGGCGATGAATCTGTTTAAACGTTTCATTATATCATGATTTTCACTAAATCTCGTTTATTCTTCGTTCTTTTTTTTCTGCAAATTAATATGACCATTTTTCCCCCAAAAATAACGCCCGAGACGAAAATATAAGATGGCTTTTTTCTTTTGAGAAACAAGTCAAAGTAAATCGGCCCGCTTATAATTAAAATGGTGGCTTTTAATTACAATACCTTCGGGTCTTCAGGATCCAGCATTTTACTCAGGACTGTCATTATTTTCGCTGTAGTTTTTCGCAAATCAGGATCAGACAAGCTCCCTCAAATCTCAGTTAGCCCACTATAAAAAAAAAAATATAAGCTTCTGTAATTTGTTCCCTAACGACGAGTTTCTAGATCACAAAATTCCAGTTTCAAATTGGCCATGCTTCAGCGCTTGCTATATTTCAAATCATCTGACTGTTAATGGGAACAATTATATCAATTAGATAAAATTTTACTTAAATTGAAGTTTTTTTTAAAAATACAATAATTCTTTAACTTCTGCGCATTATCGCATTGTGAAGCGCCTCGGCAAGACAAGCTTCGCCCTATTCAAAGACAATTGACAAAACAGCAACTATTTTACTCCATAGACTGGAAATAATTATTTAAAAAAATGTATAAACCGCACGATTTTTATGAGTAGAAATTTACCCATTGATATTTCTCGATTTCAAACAATTTATCTCGTCTAACTTCGTCACATTAAATCATTGGCTAATATGATTAAAATAAGGCCAAAAATTAGCTTTCCTTAAAGGAAAGTTAAATTTAAAAAAAAACTTCGTCACATAAAACCATAAGCACAAAAACATTTCTATTCGAAAAATTAATATAAGATACTTACACAAATTTACTGTAATTTTTATCCATCCCTGAACCAAATGTGTCGTGATTTTTCCACTTGTTTTTGTTTTTTCAAATGTGCCATTGTCTTAGAAAGACTGTGAAAACAGAATTACCTCAGGCTTAAACGATGGGTGAGGTACACTAAGTACTATTTCTAGGAATTGGGCTTATTACTAACGCAGGAACGTTGTCTTTGTCACAATGATTTTTTTTTACCTATCTTTCTGGATTAGTATAATATTATATATGCACCCTCGGGGCAAAACTGGATAAACAAAAACCTTTCAGGATTGTGATTTTTAAAGTTTATACCTTAGGTACAAATTAAATTTTTCAAAATAGATGACATTTCTCTTCAATGATCTCTTGTTGATCAAGATGATATTTTGGGTACCATAACTCAAAGGAATTTTGGGTAATTCTCTCTCGTTAAATCTAAGAGAGGTCCTTCGTGTCCTAAATTTGCGATTTTTAAAAAATAATATTCACTTTTTCTCTCTTTCTCTCGTCCTCTATTTCTATTCCCTATTCTATATCCCCTGAGAATATGACATGTTACCTCACAATGTATTCTTCCTTCCAAATGATATATTAATTATCATAACCGAAAGTTTTACATTTCTTGTTACATTTGTTAGCAAAAACTTAATTTTTTTAAATAATTTAGTTTATCTAATTATCAATTGCAATAAAAATATAATAGTTTCAAATATTGAGATGAAATCAAAGATAATTTCGATTTATATGATTAATGGAAATTAAACGAAGGTACAGTTTCAATTATGTACTTGTATTATTTTATATTTACAAAATTTTCCAATCTAAAATTGTTTTTCAGTGTTTTAATGTTTTGTTGTCTCCTTGGTCGTACAATTAGAAGGCTGGAATGCTCTCGTCGTTGTAATCCAAATACAACTTTTATCTTTAATCCAATTATGCCGGTTTCTTTGACATTTCTATTAATCTCACTTGTTGAGACATAAAACAGGTTTACGTTCAGTCATTTCGTCATAAAATTCCTCTTTTCTCTTGATATAGAAATCAAGTTGAACGTTTTACTAAAAGAAAACTCTTCCGTTCATTTATTTAAAATTTCCAATGATGAAATGATATATTATATATGTATATACATTTCAAAGAAAGGAGGAAATGACATGCGAACATTGGCAATTTTCCTCGTCATAGTTATTGAGAGGAAAAATTCTTGTTGATTTCCAATTTTTCTGCATCGTACCCATAATCCTTGGCCAGATCGGGCTGCAAAAATGAAACGTTCATTATTTAGAGACGGATTTTCAGCGTATTAAATAGATCAATGTAACGTGATTTGGACGGGTTAAATCACGGAAAAAGAGAGAGATTTATTGAAGGTTACTTTGACATCCTTTTTAAAAAAATCAACGTTATTGGACTTTCAACCAGAAGGGTTGAGCCTCCTCGATGTGATGACCCTAGGGTCTATACCTCGGTTGTTCATCTACCCTGTTATAACGCTGGGTAACTAGTATCTCGCTTGAGCCAGATGCTAGGAGATAGTCGCTTCCCAACCAATAGGGGCTTTAGACAACTAGGTCATTTCAGCTCCCAATGCATGCGAACATAAGCTAGCCTAACACTAACTAACTTCACTTTGTACAATCACACATATAAATACATTCGTACATTGCACTTGTTCCGATTAGTCGGTGGAGTACTCGATTTGTTCACGATATTATATCGTCTAATACACAGAGTATCTCTTTCTGTTTGGTTTGCTATATTTTTAGATCGGTGATTCGACATCTTAACTGATAGTAGTAAAAATAATAGAGAAACCATCACCATCAGATTTTTTACAAACTTAAATTAATTTAAATTTATAATTTAGTTCAAATTAGTAAAGGTTTCTACCAATCAGCAAGAAAGATGGTCATGGTTTAGAAGTTTCAAGTATATAAACCGTAATTAATTAAATATAAAAAGGTAAAGTAGTTCCCTTTATACAGGAGGGCTTAACGTCCAACTATCGGATCGATGTCGCGTATGAGGTATCGGCACCACTTTGCAGTACTTTTTTCAAATTAGCTCAAATTAATTATTCTTTTGATGTAAGGTCTTGGTTGAGATGAAAAAGCTAATGTCACGAGCGGGATTCGAACCCACGACCTTCGGTTCAATACCTCGTTGCTCTAGCCACTTGAACTATCGTGATTTCGATACACTCGGACACCAACCCCCATCTCAACCATCAACTTTTCGAATTTTCCCTCTTTTTGCCATTTTTTAATAGGTAAAACGAAGTATAGCTTCCCTAAACAGTTCCCCGTGGCCAATTCATATGTCGCCGGGAATCGAATCCTGATCCTGATTACACGACATTTGAAAAATGGCAAAAAGGTTTTGGAAAAAAAAATATTGGGAGTTCTGCCGCTATTCCTGTCCAAGCAATGGTTTCAACTTTTTTGCCCAAATGTCTGAAGAAATGTATCAGGCATTTGTATAAAAAAGTCATACCGCTACCTCCATGTCTGTCAACAAAGAACAATTATTTTGAAAGGTACTCGTTTCTCAACGCGAGAGATGGAACAGATCTTACGATAAAAAAAAAATTAAAAATTAAGTAACTTTGTGAATTATAATCCGTTTTTGGCGATTTTTTAAAAAATTCGATTGCTCTTAAATGGCTGTTTAGTACTGTTAAAAAAAAAACTCGTGGAAAATCTTTCACAATTTTAATCCAAAGAAAAAACACGAAGTGGCCAACTTTCGTTTAAGTCCTGATAGCAATATAGGTCCTTCTCTCGCTTAAACAAATAACAATACTTCAGCCAAAACGTTTTTTATTATAATAGAGAAAGAGACGTGGAAGGACATTGACGATCACCCCTTTATGGCTAGGGGTGGAAAAGCGCAAGGGTGGAAGAGTACGGGGTGGGTCTATGAGCATGGCACGTATCGGTTGGAAAGTCGTCCGACTCGATCTCGACCGATCGTTCATCGTTCGGTCTCGTTCATTGCAACCTGTTCGTTAATGATTCACGAACGGCGCATTGACGTCCAAGTCGTTATGTAATATTTTAGCTTTCCTCTTTTAAATTTCATTTATCATTATCCGTCTGTGTGTCACACAGAACCATGGCCTCGCCGATTGTTTATTTAACAAGGGTTGAAAAATTTTCAGCTTGTCACAGGCTCCATAGGTAAATGTCATTGTTATTACGCTTGAGAATACTGCTTAATTCTGATTAAAAAAATTCAATAATAACGATGAAAATTCATGCTCAATTTCTTGGATAGTATGAAAATAACAAATGTGATTTTCTTTATATTAAATAATTTAATTTCATGTATAGTATAAAAATAGCAAATTTGTTTTTTCTTTATTATTATATTTATTATTTGTAGCCTGCATATTTTTTTTATTTCTTACAATTGAGTTTGTAATGTTCTCTCATGGCCACAATTATATGACATGGTGAATGAGGCCTCGAGGCCATGGTCGAATAGGGCGACATGGAGCCTCTCCAGATAGCTTTTGGTTGATGTTCAGTGAATAGCAGGACTGTTTGATTTTGTTAATATAGTTCTAAATGTAAATATATTCGGTGTGCGTTTTCCCTCATCTAGCCTTGCTCTTCATTTTTTGCATGCACTATTCTTTGATAGTTGATATGACATGGTGGATGAGGCCTCGAGGCCATTGTCGAATAGAGCGACATGGAGCCTCTTGGTATGGGAAAGTGTAGAGAGACCTTAAAAATTGGTTTATGGTGTTTTTTAATAAGCAAGCTTTTTTGAAGTAAGGAATGTTGCATACTTTCTCATGCGAAGTTGTCAATCCATCTGCGCTGTATATTAGTATACAGAACCCAACAGTTCCACTCTATATGTCCAAAGTATACCAAGTAAATTTAGTTGGCCTTGGAAGTCACTGGTGGTCAAGCCTTCAATGAATTTGTCTCTTAAGTCTTGTATGGATTTCAAATAATTTAATTTCACGGATAGTATAAAAATAGCAAATTTGTTTTTTCTTTATTATTATATTTATTATTTGTAGCCTGCATATTTTTTTTACATCTTACAATTGAGTTGGTAGTGTCCTCTCTGGCCACAATGATATGACATGGTGAATGAGGCCTCGAGGCCATGGTTGAATAGGGCGACATGGAGCCTCTCCAGATAGCTTCTGGTTGATGTTCAGTGAATGTCAGGACTGTTTGATTTTTTTTTTTAATTTAGTTTTAAATGTAAATATATTCGGTGTGCATTTTCCCTCATCTAGTCTTGCTCTCCATTTTTTGCATGCAGTATTCTTTGATAGTATTAAACATTAAGGGACAAGGAAGTCTTGAGGTCATCATTGATTAAGACAAGTAGAGCGTTCTCAGGATGGTGCAGTGTAGAAAAGGCTTGAAGGTCTAGAACATTTAACAGGAAGTGTCACCCTCACAATTTGGGGATGACACTTTCAGAGATATTCCGAAAAGTGAATGGGGCACATATTAAAATGCTGAGTGGGGGAGGTCGGAAGAGGGGAGATGTTCAATTTGAACTGGAAAAAACAGATCGGGTGTGTTCCAGATTCGATACCTATTGCTTGAGCTAGTGCCAATCTTTAGAATTGAATTGTATGATAATTTAGTTCTCACGAGGGTGGGTTGAGCGATTATGTTGTGTGGTTATATGGCTACAGGTGGAAGTTGAAGAAGGGAATAATTAAAAAATTTTATTAATCTTATATTAAATTTTTGGTTTGCCTTGTCTATACATTTTGTAAATATATTTTATGTTTTTAATTAATTTGGTTTCAACAAGTGCGTTTTTATTTGTTTTATTTTACCTTTCCCCATATCCTTTTCTTTTAACTTATTGGCCCGCTTCCGATTCCTTTCCTATCCTCTAGTTTTGGAAGTGTCTTACCCTTATTTGTTGTGCCGTTGATAGATCAATTTCACACATTGGTAGGAGAGCAATAAATGTTTTTAAAATTTGGATTCAGGATTTGATCCGATTTTTGTTTTCTTTCCCCCCCTCAATTGTTGGCAAAATTGCTCACAGTTGCACGATCCAAACATCTGGATGCATAATAATTTATGTTGCATGAAAAAAATTGAAAGTATTTAATGAGTTGGATATTGGTCACAGAACCCAACAGTTATGTTCCATCCTCAAACATCCAAAATGGTAGAAGTAAAATTTTCTACAAAGTGAGTTTGGTTTGTACATCCAATGAAGATTTTGGTACTGGAAGTTGCTAGCATATATAGCATATTATATAACGTGTGACTTTGTATAACTTATGACTAAATCACTGGCATAGATGAGCTATAGAATTGGCCCAATGACGTTGCCTTGGGATACTCATGATTTTATTAGCTTTGAGGTCGATAGGCCATGTTGGCATTACCCGGGATATCTTTCTCCTAGTTCTCTATATCAGGTCAAATCTGAAGGTGTCATGGCAGCAGCAGGCATTCCGAGAACCCTGCCTGCCTGAAGCTCCCCCAAATCTCTAGTTGCTCCTTGTTATGTGAGTAGGCTATTGAAGCCTATGAATTGATGCTCTGTCCTTAAAGATATGCAGTGGTGGTCGATTCAGAAGGACTACCATGGCAGCAGTGGGTGTCATTCTTATTAACCCAGTGATGCTCCGACACGTTAGTCTCTGAGCAGCACTGAGGATCTTAACCGCCCTTAGCTGTAATTTCTTTGTCAAAAAATCCATCAATATCATAGGTCTAACAACTGTACAGCTATAGGGACATCTTTGGGTTTAGTCCCCAACATTTCCCACAAAGGTGTTTACACCTATCAACGGCAATTTTCGCTATCTGTGTGATTTCATTTAGTTGTTAGTTCCATGAAAGTCTTTGGTCAAAGATATTAAATAACTGTAATCACATATATATTCTGGTTTATTCTTAATGTAATGTTCCTTCACTTGACTGGTAATGAGTTACTAGTATTTGTTAGCTAAAATGTAATTTTATTTTTATATGAAAAATCTATGATTAAGTTGTTTTGTTTTCACTGGAGGTTCATTTTTAATTATAGACTTTTTTTTTAGCCCACAATTGTCGGATCAAGTTAACAAAGATGTGTATGGAAAATGTAACAACCCAAACGGGCATGGGCATAATTACAGAGGTGAATTAATAATCAATGAAATAGGCTCAGTATGAATTTCCATTGGAACCTAATCGTTCTATTTCTGTATTTTTCAGTCGAGGTGACCGTATGCGGGCCCGTTTCTAAAGATACTGGAATGGTCATGAATTTAAGTGATCTCAAGGCTCATATGAATGCTGCCATCATGGAAACGTTGGACCATAAAAACTTGGACTTGGACGTACCATATTTTAAAGACGTAGTAAGCACTACAGAAAATGTTGCTGTTTATATTTGGAATAAACTCATGAGGGAATTAGAAAATCCGTATTTATTGTACGAGGTTAAAATATATGAAACGGACAATAACATCGTTTCTTATAGAGGAGAGTAATAATTACTGCATTTCCCAAATGTGTTATACATATTTTATATAATATTACGACTGATCCTCTACCTATATTTTTGAATAATGTTGATTATTTGTGTACTTATTCACAAAGTAAATATTGTAACTTTTTTACATGAAGTGATTTTTTAAATTATTATTGGTGATATGAAGTATTTTTTAAATTTTAAGATTTCCTTTTTGTGGCATAGATACAAATAGGTATTCTGTTTATAAATAAAATATATGCTTGATAAATGCCATAATGAAATGTTTTATATGTTAACTGATAGAAGTACAGTTAATTTAAAAAAAATCTAATTGTTTCATTTTGATACGTACTATTCACCATCTTTCTGTCCTACGTGTATGTTAGGTAAATGGTTTTATGCTAGATCAATGCTCATGTGCTGTCGATCATATTACTATTGTCAGCATTCCTAGCGCTCTATGTAGTGCTAAGAAGCATTAGAACATGTATTGCGGTAATGTTCAAAAATACAACAAACCAGAGATATGCCAATTTTTTTAAAAATTAAATTTATTTATTAAAACTTGGTCTTATTAGACCAACCATTAATTTTACAATAAGATTTTAGAATAAATAAATGTTTACATTCTTATAAACCCATTGGTATAGTAAGATTTACAATTCATTTTTAACTACACAAGTTTATATGGCTGTTCTTTTTAATCTTCTCACCGTGTTTCGGTTGTGTAAGAGTTTGGTCTCTTCCACATTCTCATGCTGGCTGAGGCGAACCTGGTGTTTGGCGGCAAATCTTTGTATTCTGCCGTGACTTCAAGGATCTTAAGATCCCTATGTAAGTCCTTATGTACCAAGGTGTAGGTTACGTAAGATTTTATTTTGGAGTGTTTGTATGATTTTGATATTGCTGTGTTTGGTACAACCCCATAGTTGAATACCTTATGCCCACATAGGCTTTAGGACTTGTTTGTATAATAATATTTTATTTTGTATAGCAAGGTTGGAGCCACGTCCTATCTACCAGTATAGTTGCCTATACCTTAAACCTATTTCTGTCCTTTTTTTCTTCACGTATTCTTTCCATCTCAGCTTGGCATCTAGGTCATTCTCAGATATTTAGCTCTATTGCTGTATGGTATAGTAGTTCGATTGTGAGCGACGGAACATGGTCCACTTTTTTGTTTGTAAAGATTAGATAAACTGATTTATGCTAATTTAGCTTGATTTGCCATTTTTTTGTCCATTCGTTTATCTTATTACAAACATTTTGAAGGATTTTGGTTGAGTGGGTGATAGTCGGTCCAAGTGATATCACCGCTGTGTCATCTGCAAACGCAATTTTTACTCCATCTATTTTCGGAAAATCACTGGTGTATAACAAGTAAAGAAGTGGACCTAATACGCTACCTTGTGGCACTCCTGCATCCCTTTTAGTTTATTGATGAGTCCTTCACGCCAGACCTTGTTAAAGCTTGTGAGACATCAAGGAAGTTAGCAGAACACATTTGTTTTTCTTCAAGAGATTTTTCTATTGTCCGTTACTCAGTGAATTTGGTCTATTGTTGAATGTATTGTTCGGAATTCAAATTGGTTGTCAGGGATGATTTTCTTTTTTTCAACAAGAGTTTAGACACTGTTGGTAGTAGCGATATTGGACTATATGATTTGACCTCGTTCACCGTTTTCCTGTTTTTTTTTTTTTATCATAATGACTTCTGCGAATTTCCAGATGCTGGGAACATATTTCAGTCTGATTGCAGCATTAAATAGGTATGTTAATTTAACTATACCTTTTTTGGCAATTGTTTTATTATTTCTCCAGTGATAAGGTCAAATCCTGGTGTCTTTTTAGCAGGTAAATTTTTAATTTCTTGTGCTACTTCTTTAGGTGTAACTAGCTTTATATTTTCTTCTTGTGGAGTGGTTGTTACTTCAAGTAAGCAGCCATTGATGTTTTCATTTGGTTTGAAGATTTCAGCACGGTAACTAGCAAACAATTCGACTTTTTCTCTGCTGTCACTCGCCCATTTACCATCCTCTTTTTTTAATGGAGGAATTTGGGCGATTGGTCGTATGCCAAATGACCCTCGCCAACACCAGCTTCCACATCATGTCTTTCAGGATCTTCTTTCTGCAACTTCCTGAATTCTCAAGAGTCGACTCTATTCAACTTGTTGCAATGGCTAGGTCCTTGCTGGCTCTGGCTGGTAGAGTTCTCCCCTTTTATATAATCTTACAACAAGGGTAGAGGAGGAACGGAAAACAAAAAATGTTGGGCAAGGTGGTTAACTTCCTTCTTGGAAGAGTTGGACTCTTAACGGATTAATGGATTTCACACAAGTTGCTCTAAGAGGGAGCCGAACAGAGAACCCATCACTGACACCTTTGGCACCTCATGTTCAACAATGTTTGAGGCACTCGAGCTCAATGAAACACCTCTGATGCCAAGGTCATAAGTTTTTGGAACAAAATGTCTTGGTGGAAGATGTCGAAGGCTTTTGTTATGTCTAAAAATGGCTCCGACACTTTTTTGTTAGAAGTCATGTCAGCATAAATTAAAACTACGACTAATCTAATATTATTTGACATAACAAACCAATATCCATCAATTCTAGAAAAAGGAAATGATGGACATAGTACGAAAGACACTACACAGAAATTGTGCCGAAGAAAAACACAACTCACATACATAATACAAAGTGTGTTGCAACTAAATTCTTTAAATTCCACAGACAAATATACACACCAAAAGACAGACTAGGAAAGGGTAATCCAACATCAGCCATCATCGCAGAAGTATTTTTTTATTAATTGAAATTGAAATGTCAAAGAGAAATACTTCCCTGAATTAAAGCAAAGCATAACATTACACACATACACATATAAGTAAATACTCGCCATAGTAGACATCAACAACAGCAGCATAAACAACATATTGACAGATATGAACTCATTACACAAGAACATATAATTCACCACAGAAACAGAAAGCAATATAAACTTCCTAAATTTAACAGCCACACAAATTAAAAAGAAAAAAGACAGAAATCAAAAAGAACAACTAGAACAATAAAAAAACCCAACTTAATCCATCAAACATACCAACAAAAAAAATACTAACATCGACACTAAAAATGGCGAAATGCATGTCTGACAAAAATCAGATAGTTAGACCAAGTTTGGTAATTATCAGACTATACATATTATTATATCCCTTATCAAGATTATCCCTTCTATAAATATATGGTTGAATATTTTAAGTTAAAAGTTGTAAAATAATTAACTAAACAAAAATGTAAAAGTAAAACATGTTTATTACATATAAATTATGTTTTAAGCACAATTAAAAAAATTCAATATAAAATTATCAAATTTATCGATAAAAATGTAAAATAATGAATAAACAAACATTTATTCAAATTTCTTCAGCACTTAGAAATTATATTATGGCTTTTGTCCTACTGCTATTAGAAAACAAAAATTCAATAGAACATAATGCACTTATGATATTTTTGTTCTACGTATAGAATTTTATGCTTAAAGATAATTGAATAAGCTGTAATAAATTTTATTCTATGGGAATTTTTTCCCACTACAGCATATTTAGCCATCTTTGAATATTTATCAATAATAATACTGGCCTGTATATTTTAATGAACATTTTTAAAATAATTTTCATAAGTCAGATTGGGCGCTGAACATTGTTATTATGGAGATTGTTAACACATGTAAATTTACTTTAACCTTTAATTTTGATGCATAAATATATGCTTAGGTAATTTGTTAAACATAACACAAAAAACAAAAGAAAACGAACCTGAATATTATTAATATCTTATGTCAGGAGAGAAAAAAATTAAGTAAAACACTTTCTCAAAATATATATATATAGAATATTAGCACCTAAAACATTACATACTTTTTCAAAATTTAAGTATTGAAATACTTTTCACGGATTAGCTTAAATAGAAAAATAGTTTATAAAACATTTGGAATGGTAGAAATAGGAAAATCTAATAAATGCCACTAAGAAAAAGAAAGAAAAAAAAGAAAAAGATTTAACGGACAAAAAATCCTTTAAAATTTTCAAAAAGTAAAAATCAGCTCTGATGATGCAAGATCCTCTGTTACTTTCTGAGTAAACTGTAAGGTGCTTTGATTCGTATTTTATAAGTCAATAGTCTGCTTAATTAAAAAAAAAATTATTCTCCTATAAATTATATTGATTTATATATAAAAAATAGAGGCCATTCCTTAGTCTATAATATAATAAACTTTTTAAAATAATCTGGAAGCATTGGTCCCGTCTAGTAAAGTTTTCAATCTAAATCACTGTTGTTTACTTATTCTGTTAAAACTTAATAAACAAAAACAATAAGAATTTGTCACCAACTGCCATACAAATGTAAAAATTGGTGATTCACAAGTTAACAAAATATAACTACTATTGTAAATTACCATTTAATTAAAAAATGCAATATTACAAAAACACTATATTCTATAAAAGGAAATAAATTAATTGACAATAAAAAGAAATATTGCCTTTAAAAAAATCTAAACTTCTAAATCAGTACAACATTCATAAAGCCACACAATATACAATTTTCCAACATTAAAACTCATCATGCCTTACAAGGGCTTCGCCAAAATCTGTTGCTTGGGAACCAACGAATAAATCGTATTTTTCAATGATCTCTTCTTTGGTGAGTTTTTTATCGTCGTTTCGATCAGCTTCATAGATCAAATGTTGCGCTTCAGCTTTGGCGTAATCGTAGTCTTCTGGGCCAATAATGCTTTTCACCTTAAAAAAATGCATGAACCGATGAATAAATATTTAAAAGAAAATAAACCAAGAAGAAATATTGAGTTAACCTCATCTCCGGTTATGTAACCATCGCCATCGGCATCACGGACTTTTTTAAAGTTTTCGATTTCTGTTTCCACCCATTGAGGTTTGAAGTCGTCTTCTCCTTGGTATAAATCACCTAGATTTGGGAAGATGATAGTGCTTATGTATATTTTTGAAACTTCTTTAGAGGCAAAATTGAATATAATGTTTATACATGCAGGTCAAAAACAATTGAAAATACTATATAATCGGAATTGTTTGGAATGTGCTGCAATTTATCTAACTTTCAGTTGATAACCACAGTAAAATCATGATTTGTAGGGACAAGGGAATTTGTGTTAATAATCAATTATATACATAACACAATATCTTCCAGGCAAGTCCATGCAATTGAGAGATGTACCCAGTTAGACAAGCAGACATCAAAGCACTAAGTTCAAATTAGCTCAATGATGGTGTTGAATTGCAAAACTGAACAAAAAAGATTAGTTATTCAGAAATCGTGAGATGCGGTCTGGTGTGATGTAGGTTTCAGAAAAACATTTTCTTTATTGAGCCAACGTTTCGATCTTTATTGAGATAATCTTAACATAGCACAACAAAGCATCACATTCCACACATCAAATATTTTTCACATAGTCTAATTTCCCAACGATTTAGCTTTCCTTTTCCTATCTATCCCTTTCTATATAATCCTGAAAGGATAATCTGGCCGAACCATTACCAATGTTTTTTCCCTTCGTCGGCTATTTTCATCTCAAAGAAGCCGACGCCTTATACAAAAATGTCTTTTCTATACCGACTTCTTTCCCCACACATATATAAACATAAAACAGCAATATCGTACTGGCACTTTCAACACGATACGCAAGAATGGCACGATTACACAGAAGACAAACACTTTGAGTGAGTAGAAATACTTTGATTGAATATACAAAAATATTAAATTCATTAATTTCGTGGTCCGCTTGACCAATTAATATATTACAATTAATTAAGGCTTTTAGTTGAGATAAAAAAGGCAATGGACGAGTGGGATTCGAACCCACGATCTTCGGCTACATACGCCNTGTGCTGCAATTTATCTAACTTTCAGTTGATAACCACAGTAAAATCATGATTTGTAGGGACAAGGGAATTTGTGTTAATAATCAATTATATACATTCGGCCAATTATATATATTCGGTTCGGCCAGATTATCCTTTCAGGATTATATAGAAAGGGATAGATAGGAAAAGGAAAGCTAAATCGTTGGGAAATTAGACTATGTGAAAAATATTTGATGTGTGGAATGTGATGCTTTGTTGTGCTATGTTAAGATTATCTCAATAAAGATCGAAACGTTGGCACGATAAAGAAAATGTTTTTCTGAAACCTACATCACACCAGACCGCATGTCACGATTTCTGAATAATTATCGATTAACAGTCACTAATCACCACACATTTCTACACGGGAAAAAAGATAAGGCATAGAAAATAAAGTCACCTGTTGCTAGAATGTGGAAACAGTAGAATTCACTCATTGGACAATCTAAAAACCTTCTAGCAAATTTTGGAAGGAGAAAAGAACAGAATGCAACAAAGGAAGCAGGAAAAACTTAAAATCCTAACAGGAACGTGCAGACTGAATGGGCATCTGAAGGAGATGGGTGTAACCCAATACATGCAGATACTTCAAAGAAGCAGATAAAACACCAACACACCTACTAACAAACTGTGACACCATATTTGCCTGCAGGCGTTAGTGTTTTGGAACGTACAATATAGAAGAACTTCAACCACTGAAACTGGGCCTACCAATCAAGTTCCTTGATGAACTAGGCCTCATCAGTGTGCTATAAGCACAGAACGGGAGATACAATAGCTCTTAAAGGGCACAGTATACTACACACCTTGACTAACACATCTGTATCTATATTTACTACATTGTAACAAGTAAGATTTTTATGTTCTATTTACCTATGTATTCATCTAAAGATATTTTCCCATCTTTGTCTGAATCAAGATCTTCTACTGTTTCCTGGATAATAATCGATCTCATATGAGGGCTCTCTTCTGGATGCAGAAATGAGAAAAATTCATGTTTTGTTAATAATCCATCACCGTCTAAATCAGAAGCCGTCCACCTCCTCTTGTCTCTATTATAAAGCCCTTGGTATGTCAATTGATTGTCCTTTTTATTGAGCTCTTCATCAGTCATGTCTAGAAAAAACAATTTAAGAGTTAAAAAATATCATAAACAAAATAAAATATTGGTAAATTACCTTTCATAAAACCATACACTGATTCACTATATTCATCCCAACCCAATTTTTCAGCGCCTTGTGGGTTATGGTTGTTCCACATTCGATCTACATTATCCCTTATAAATTTCTCCTGGGTATACTTTATCCAATCCTTAAGTTCCTCTGTTGTTACAAAACCATCCTGATCCTTATCTATCTTGTCAACTATTAAACTAAAGAAAAAAATAGCAATAACAATAAGAAATTTTAATAAATAATAAGTTCACTACTGGGACAATAATTATAAAAATATAAATTACCCCAGTCTTTTTCTACTTTCTTCTGGTGATAAACTGTCGAAAGACTTAGCCTCTTCGCCTAAGAAGGCCTCATGGTCGTATTCAACATTATGAGCACCGTCTTTTTCAAAATGCTTAACTTTGTCCTAAAACACGATATTAACATAGCATTCAGATCTTAGTGTATAACTTGTAAAAAAAAGTAAATATCTTACTTCATGAAGATCATCTGGTGCTACAGAAGCAGCTGACCAGCATATGATAGGATACGATAGAAGAAATATATAGAAGAGTGTATGATTTTTGCTACCCATTTCTGAAAACAAAATTAAATACAAATAAAAAGAGGAGGCTTAATAAGTAAATTTTATGGACATTTTTATGGGGGGGGGGAGATTATTTGTAAGAATGTTGGGTTCAAATACAGGGCTGGTAGATTCGAAGCTAGTACCTTTACCCAACAGAGATGAGCGCTGTGTCAACCCTTTAACTGTTGCTGCCAAAGATGGCCCAATAAAATTTCTTAAACAATTATTTTAATTTCTTTTTAGACGAGCAGAAACTTGTGTGCTAATCAAAAACAAAACCTCAATTCCGTTAACAATGCTCCTTTTGAAAACCAATTTAATCGAGGGGTACCAATTTTTATATTAAATAATTGTAAATTCACACCTAATTTTTTTAAAACAGCTTTATGAAGGTTAATATTTCAGTAGTTTTATTGCACTGTTGACAAACTGAAATATAATATTCATATCATACGTTAAAAAGTTACTGATTATAATAACAAATATGTTAACTCCATTGTCCTAGTGTTTCCTGTAGGCGAACTACTTCGAGGAAAACCGTGTTAAAATTCTTAGTGCAAAAAATAACTTTAATTATTGTCAAATCTTTGAATAAATATCGAATGTAAAGATAATTGAGTTAACCGAATAAATTTCACTGTCGTTGACTGTTTTTATGAAGATAATACAGACTGATAAAATGAAATGAAAAAAAAAAATCTCAATTTTTTTGTTTATTTGCAACTGCATTAACATTTAAACCTAGCAAACAATCTATTTTCTTTAGAAGACAAAAATGTTACTCTAGCTCAATTGTCATATGTTAGAATAACACTTTTAAACTAGGTAAATGTTTCTTATTTTTATTTTAAGTTTGATTTAAGTAAGGTTTATTAAGTGTTAAGCTTTTACTTATCAAAAGTTAAGTTGTTGAATTTCAAGTTGTGAGTGATATTATGGAAGTTTGATTTCCTTTGTTCTGGTGATTCTCACTGTTATCTTGTGTCAGATGCAAGTCAGCACTTTTTTATCGTTCAGACATCTAGTAAACACTGAGAATGTGAATTAGATGCTGACAATACTATTAATAATCTCTCTCTATAATAAAAAGTATTTCAACTTAAAAATATATGTAGGTTTTTTTAAATATTGACAGGTAGTTTCTGGGCTTTTCTGTCTCACTCTCTCTGAGCATATCTCTTTCTACCTCTCTCATAAAAGAGGTCTCGTTTGTGATCTAAATTTGTGAGATTTTTTAAATAATACAATACTCATTCTCTCTCTCTCACACCTCTCATACACTTCTTCTTTCCTGACAGCGCATACGAACTATATATGAATAAGTCTGGCACATTACTCGTCCCATGATTGATTTCCCAAAATTTTCTTGAACCTCCAAAGGTCTCATTCTGTGTGTGAATTTGTCTATGAAATTATGAAGTCTAAGCAAAAATCTAAAATAGTATTAATTGATCAAAGAGTATGGGACTGCTGTTAGTCAGACAATCTGATACTCGTGGCCCCAAGAGACGACTTGAACAGGATGTTTGAGTTCAAGCAAAATTTCCAAATAAACTTAAGTATGAAACAAAAAATGGAAAAAGGGAGAAACCCTAATGTTACAAACGGCACCATCTGCTCATAGACTGATGGATCTAGAATGCAGGAAGGTACAGGCCAGGAGTATTCGGCCCTGGAACCAAATACTCAGAACCCATGGAAAATACAACCTTCCAAGCTGAGATCCAAAGGGGGTACCAATAATGGGTACAAAAACAAGAATATAGCTATCATGTCAGATAGCCAAGCAGCCATCGAAGTGCTAAGTTCAAACACCATTAACTCAAAGATGGTGCTGAATTGCAAAACTAAACTAAAGAGATTAGGTATGGAAAATAAATTCATCTTCTGCTGGATCCCAAGATACAGAATGCATCACAGGAAGCAGGAAAAAATTTCAAATCGTAACAAGACTCTGCAGACTGAATGGGCATGTGAAGAAGATTGGTATAACCTAATATGGTACGTGCAGATTCTGCAAAGAAGGAGCGGAGACACGAACACACCTACTAACAAACTGTGGCGTCACATTTGCCCACAGGTGGAAGTGTTTTAGAATGTACAACTTAGAAGAACCACAGAAACCAACTAATCTAGTTCCTTGATGACCTAGGACTCATCGGTGTGCTATAAGCACAGACTGGGGGATACAATAGCTCTAAAGGGCGCAGTATACATCTACATCTATATCTAGTCATACAATGAAAACAATTTTAAAGGTCTGTTTTAAAAATATATAATGAATATCAAATAAAAGAACAACAATCATCTTGCGGTCGTAGAGAGAAGAACTGGTGCTTTGGCTTCTCGCCATCTTCAATGATGGGGGATTTCTGACTAACAGACCAACTGTGCACAACGGCCATCACACCAAACCAGCGAGTACAATCAGACCAAAATGGTAACGACCATACTACCAAATGTCATAAATTAACTTATTAACAATGTAAAATGATAAAAATTTCACATTTCTGTTCGTAATAACTGATTTATTAAAGGCAACTCGGATTTACTATACAATCCAATTCATTGAAAGATTAAGAAACTGTATGGACCAGATAAGGGAGAACTTTTTTGGTTAGGTTTCCAACACCAGATTAGTTTTTAACGGTTTAATTTTAAATTGGACAATTTGGCTTGAAAATAAACACAAATGTTATCAGATAAGGTCAATGGTTTCTGAAAATAATAATAATTTTGGATAAAATTGTAGAAGCTTAAAAGTAAGCACTTGGGAAGTGTTTTTAGACGAGAGCTACAAACAAGAGAAAAAGATTATTTTTAATTTGATAAGAAGTTATGAAATAGCGAATTGATGTTAGTAGCTGTTTTGAAAAAAAATGCTTACTTCATAAAATTACAAATGATTCCTAGTGAAAAGCCGAGAGATTGAGAAAGGAAGAAAACTAGGAACCGGGCGGAGCGGAAGCCGACCAAAGACTGAGGTTTATCACTCTCCCAGATGTTATTTAACGATAAAATGCCCCCGGTTTTATCTTTTTTTTTTCGTTTTCCTTTCTGTCTTTCGGATTTCTTCCGCCGCTTTAGACGAAGACGAAACCGAATTCGCCAGATTTGGAAGTGTACTTGTCTTGTCAACAACCTACAACAGGTCGTAACCTGGCCACCGGTACATTCGGCCGACGTATCACCTGGTCGCCGGCGGCAAATTCGAAACGTCGGCCGACGAAATTTGAGCGGAAAATTTACGTGAATTTCACAACCGGTCGCCGCCTGAGAATGAGAAACTAGCCGATTCGACACTCTTTGGTCGCCGGCGGCAAATTCGAAACGCGGCCGACGAAATTTGAACAGAAAATTTACTTGAGTTTCACAACTGGTCGCCGGCGGAAAATTTGAAGCAACGGCCGACGAAATTTTAGCGGAAAATTTACCTGAATTTCACAACTGGTCGCTGTCTGAGAATGAGAAACCTGGCCGATTCGACACGCCCTGGTCGCTGGCTCGATCCGACTGAAAAAGCACTCGCGACGGGGGACCCATTTAACCCGGCCTTACACGACGCTCCATTTGCCCCTTACCGGCTTCCTATATTTTCTGTTTTATCTACATCTATATATAATATTTATTTCCCTCGACGCTCTTTTACGTTTCCCTTACGAAAAACGATTTTTCCGAGAAAAAAAGGGTCTTTAGTATTTATCCATTGGAAATAGCTTAGGCTAAGATTGGCGAGTGACCTGCTTCCGTTGCTATTAATCACAAAAAATCAAATGAGCCACAAAAGACTGGCGCCAAAGAATCGTCTTGCCAATTTTTGAAACCTTTTTATTTCTTAGTTTCTAATAATAATATGTTACATTCTCTCGTTTTATTTGCAATTTCTCTCTTTGACAGTATTTGACCAAATTCTGCGACTCTAAATCAAACCACTACATTCATTACTCCCTCTAACCATCTCTCACGCTCTCTGAGCATTTCTCTTTCTCCCTCTCTCTTACCTCTTGCTCTCTTTATCCATCTCTCACTCGCTCCCGCTCTTTGAGCATCTCTCTTTCTCCATTTCTCTTAACCCTCGCTCTTTCCATCTCTCACTCTCGCATCTCCTTTTTCTCTCACGGCCTCTCTCTTACCTCTTACTCCCTCTATCCGTCTCTAACTCGCTTCCGCTATTTGAGCATCCGCCTTTCTCCCTCTCTCTTACCTCTTACCCTCTCAAACTTTCTCTCACTTTCGCCACCCCTCTGGCTCGCTCTATCTTACTTTTAACACTCTCTAACCATCTCTTACTCTTTCTGAAAAACCCTTTTAACCCTTTTGCTCCCTCTCCCTTACTTGTAGTTCAATACAACCCTTGTTGTAGTTCAAATAAAAAAGTATACATCTCTCATTAATTATGTCTCATATACTTTACAGCATTGTAATTATGAGTAACACGAATTACGAATTAACCAAAAAAAAAAAAAAAGGTGTATTTTAATACACGTATAAGATTCATACTAAATTTAAAATTTTATGATAAAATTTATGACAAATATAAACCATCAGGCAACCTTAAATTGAAAGAAGTACGAACTTTATGCATTGGTACCTTAACAAACAAAATATTTAAATATAAAACTCCACAATATTTATATGAAAATTATAAACATTTTTATAATGTACATAATACTCGACACTCAATTCAGTTGTGAATTCCAAAACAAAAACATTTAGCAACTCTTTTTTTGCTAAAAAGCATTAGGACCATGGACAATATACCACCAGAAATAAAAAATCTAAAAAAATATTCAAAATTAAATTTAAATAAATATTATTTTTAAAATAGTGTTTTAAAATAGTAATCATCTCCTGTGGCTATCAATCTACATATAAGTTTTATATTATGTCTTCATATAAATTTTCAGAAGTCTTAGTTTATGTGTTTTTTTGGCTTTTGTTTTTAATTTAAATTAATATTTTTTTTCTCTCTCTCTCTACTAAATATTCCTTGATATAGACGTTCACTAATTCACTTGTTAAAGGGTTATTATATAATTATGTATTTTCACTTTTTAAATTTTTTTCTTTTATGTATCTCTTCAAGATTTTATGTTTATTCACATTTTTGTTTGTTTTTTAATTGTATTATTATAAGTTGAAATCTTTCATTGTTTATAACATAATTAAGTCAGATCAGATATACTGTGTATTAAAGCTAAAAATATGTACGTTCCATAGTCATTTTGTTTGTTTATTGTGTATTTATTTATTTTCGTAAAACCGAACTCGTTGACCTAAATCTGCGAGTATTATAAATAAGGCATTTTAAGTCAATTCTAACTCTCCCTCTCTCTAAGCATTTCTATGCCCCCTCTAGCCATCTCTCACACTCCCGCACCCTCAATCTCACCTTCTCAAACTCACTCTCTCTCTCTCTCTCTCTTATCTCTACTATCGCTCTCTCTTTTACCTATCTCTCCCTCCCCCCTCTCTTACTTTTAACTCTCTCTAACCATCTCACACACTCTCGCTCCCTTTCTCTTACCTCTTACTCTTTCAATCTCTCTCTCACTTTCGCCACCTCTCTCTTACTTCTAACTTTCTCTATCCAAACTCTAACTCTCTCGCTCTCTCTGTATATCTTACTCTGTCTCTCATTCTCTCCTACGTCTTACTGTCTTTATTAACCTCTTTCTGCTAGCTTCTGTGCGTCTCTCTTTCTCTTTTTCTCATGTATGAGTAAGCCTGGCATAATATCTCACAACAATATCTTAATAATCTCTCAATAATCACTCCTTCTCTCTCTCTCTCAAAATGTGATCTGTGTATCTTCTCTTAGCACACGAAAAGAAAAAAGAATCATTGCTTATTGTGTCTGTAAATGTGTAAATAGAAATGTTTTCAGGTGGGGTGAGTATGGCAATTCACTTTTGGAAAAGTATAAATACATTTAAAGCATTAAATTTGGGTATAATCAATTTTAGTGCCAAGAAAAAATACATCATCATCATTGTTATTCAGTAAGATTAATATTTTCGTTAACGCTCTTTAGCTTGGTCCTAATGAAACAATGACTTGGTGGATTTAATTTATACAAAATTATGTAAGAATGTCTTGCTAATTGCTAATAGTAATTCAGATATCGTGAGATGCGGTCGGGTGTGATGTAGGTTTCAGAAAAACATTTTCTTTATCGTGCCAACGTTTCGATCTTTTATTGAGATCATCTTCAGGGCNAAGACAAAAACTTTGAGCCCTGAAGATGATCTCAATAAAGATCGAAACGTTGGCACGATAAAGAAAATGTTTTTCTCAAACCTACATCACACCAAACCGCATCTCACGATATCTGAATTACTGTCGATTAACGGTCACTAATCTCTATACATTTCTAATTGCTAATCATTAAAGCGAATGAAAATAAGAGTTGTTACATACATTAAAAGTCGATAACACACATTGAAATGTAAGATTAGAGCAAGCTTAAGGAAATCAAACAAAAATTATGTGGGTTCTCGTATTCGACGGGAATGAAAGTGTATAGATGTTACATACATACGTGCGTCCCTGTTGGTGTGGCGAGATCTGAAAGCAAACTGTAAGAGATAAAACTTGTAGAAAAGAGTGCCACCCGTCACGATAACTGCATTTTAGTGCAAGCACTTTATTCCGCTTTGATTTTACGAGGGTTCCAGGACGTAAATAAATCTCCGCCCGTATCCGGAGCTGGCTTGGAAATATTTTGTGTCAGAAAATCCTAAACTGAGTGGTCGTGCGATTTAGAATTTTGCGGAGTGTCCTCCACAGTGGCCACCTCTGTATATTTTAAGTTTATGAGTGAACGTGGATTGTAGAGGCATAAAAGTCTTTTTAAAGCTTTTTTTATGCTTACAGGTGAGGGTAAAAAAACATAGTAAGGATAGCGACGCAATTCAAGAATTACAGCATTCATTTTGCATTCGTAACGTCTGGATGGTCAGTTTCATCAATATTCAAGCATTTTCTTTTCCTTTGTCCCTAAACAGGCTTTATTTTGCAAAATCACGGTCTTTTATTCTTCGGCGAAGAATAATTTGCTCGTTTAATCCTCTACCTTGAACTGCTTCTTGAACAAAAAACTATTATTATTAGTTACCTAGATAATGCGATAATCCAAAACAAAGAAATCCAGGGTACTTATTATGGTGAAAAACAAACGACACATAAGAGATTCTTTTATTATAACCATTAGGCAAAAGCTCCTGGACCTGGAGACTACAGGTAACCATAGTGGAAATAAGGACAATAGAGTTGATCTGCTGGTTAAGGAGGCGGCATGCTCCGGTACCACAAAAGCTATGATCATTGTTAATGACATCCTGGTCCATTTTAACAAGTTTGGAAAAAACTATATGGTAGGAAGAGCACATCTCATCAGCAAGGACCAAAGGAAAAGTGAACACGTCCACTCAACCGTCAATCTACCAGGTTTTGGTTCTTAGGATTACATGGACCAAGGAGGTTTTGCATATCAGGATCCGGCTTCGGCTGGGCTACGATTGTCTCCCACATCATAGACTAGGTCTTACATCAACGCCGACGGGTGATTGCAACTAAGAGGCAAGGGCTGATGCCGATCATGTGCTGCTACCCTGCCCTCTTCCCTCGGAGGTATGTCAACCCCGTTTTGCCAGGTCGATGACAGATGGTCGAATGCTTTTGCTTCTTACCCGACACAGTGTTCACCCCACATGCCAACAAATAGACCATATTTATTGAGGAATATTTACACTCTCCTATTCCCTACCTCCTAAAGCTTTTTCACCTTCTGATGATCATTCTGCCATAAAACATCTAAAATTAAAGAATGCTCCAGGTCAAGACCTTATTATTCCTAAAATCCTTCAACACATACCAGCAAAAGCCATCATATTCATTACATACCCATTTAATTGTTTTCTTTGTACAGCCTACTTCCCTATAGCATGGGAATACTAGTATGTCCGAATGTCCCCTAAACCAAAAAAACCGACTGCTGTACTGATGTACTGCTTCATATATGCAACAAGTCCTCAATCCATTTTGGGTAAAATTTTAGAAAAGCTTCTTGTGGTTGCTAAGTTATATTCTAGGTGTCACACCGCTTCAACAATGGTCTCGTCCTCTACTATGCAAGTAATCAGCGTGCAACAATCCT